AGATAGGTGAAAAGGTGAAAGTAATGGATATGGTATGAGGTAAACGGAAAGTAACGGATATGGTGTGAGGTAAACGAAGCCTTCTAACGTATTGTATACAGATAGGTCGGGGGTGGTCTGCGGTTGGCGTAGCTACGCACAATAGCGGACACGCTGCGCACGCGTAAATAGTACTAACGCTCAACGTGTGCATTTGTGTGTATAGGTATAATGTCAGTGATTAGACTAGCGGATGATTGGCGTGACACACCTCCACACGCACATGCGAGTGCGTGTGTGTGTGGCTTATGCCTATCACTGGACTGAGCGCTTGCAGGACGACTATAGCCAACTACGAAACAGCAAATGACAACACACAATCACAGACTAAACTGACTACACTATGCTACACGCACTACATAACTACATAACTACACAACTACACAACTACATAACTACATAACTACAAAACTACACAACTACACAACTACATAACTACATAACTCCATACCATCGTCCTCATCCTCTGAATGATACCCGTAGCCACCGTGGTAGACGTCACCGCCTTGCTGGCTGTTTGCCGCACGATTGAGATCCCGTTCCATCTTATCTAGTTTGTTCTGATACTCTCGCAGTTGTTTGGTCTTAGCACCCTTGCCTTCCTTGGCCACATGCTTCAGTTCGAGCTCCAGTTGCTCGAGCTGATTGGAGGGGAGTTGGTATTAGCGTGTGGTATGGGTTGGTATTAGCGTGTGGTATGGGTTGGTATTAGCGTGTGGTATGGGTTGGTATTAGCGTGTGGCATGGGTTGGTATTAGCGCGTGGTATGAGCCGGTTGTAGTGGTTTGGGTCAAGCCTATGCGAACGAACCAGAGGTCAACTAGGTGCACCATGATTTACCTATGTCAGCCAATGCTCGAGTATCTAGAAGTGATCGCAGGCATACGAAACAAAGCCTTGAATACCACATAGACACCTCGTAGTAAATCACCGTACAACACATTCACAGACAGGATTAAATGAGTAGTTGACAACAGAAAGCATCGAGTAGAGATATCGCTCATGCGTGCATCATGGAGTACTATGGTTAACCTGCTCAGGTGATGTGGAAGTACAATATTGGATGCTATGCTCTTGGTTTAGATACAACACATTATGATATAGGTAACTCACACACACACACGCACACACGCACACACACACGCACACTCATATATAT